CAGCTCACCGCAACGAGTGCGGACAACGTGTCGTTCTCCCTGAAGCGAAGTCATCCACACATATACAATCGTTCTCGTTGATGATCGGTACAACTCCCAGATCGAGCAGGCGGAAAATCGCATTCCGAAAATTTCTATAACGATCCTTGGCTGCGAAGTCGGGTCTCGAAAGCAGCATTTGCGCACAGCGGAGATTGTGGACGCTAAAGAAGTCTTCATATAGTCTGATGAGATACGATTGCCCAACAGCCGCGGCAGCTTGTTTGAGCGACAGATCGTCCGAGGCTGGACGAGTAGATAAGTCCAGCTTGAGGCACCCGAACCCCACTGCTGCTGAAGTTACAATGATCACCCTGTGATTCTGATGAGGCAGGTTTTGAATGCTCGCTACGAGATCGACGAGACCTCCCATGTTGGCCATGTCAACGGTCTGGCAGGGCTTCATTAGAGTAGATGTACCAACCTTTATGACGACAAGCTTATACCCGTCACCTCCGTTAGTTAAGTGTTTGTCGGCTACGCAGGAAGGAGGAGGGTTCGACATAATCCAGAAATCGAGTAAATTACTAAATGACACCAGAAAAACCTAACAGACAAAACAACACGAAAATGAGGCAGCTCATGGGCAGTGACTGTCGTTCACATTTCAACTATAGACATGGGACACACTACATAGAATATACTCTAGTTGATATCGTCGGAATGCCGGGTAAATTCTAAACCCGAAAAGCTGACAGAGTCGCAGATAACTACCGTGAACAAGTCTTGCAGTTCGAGAACAATTTGAGACCCCGATGCTGGCTAGACGGGTACGAGTTTCATTGCCACATTAGAATCAATATACACCATAGAATGACGCAGCCAGCAAAGTAAAGAGCAGTCTAAAATGAAAGGCGAAGAAGACAGACATGGGGATATCTACCAGTACGAAGTCCTCCATCAGTGAGATTCCTATACCATCAATAGAGTCGCTAGCTGAAACTCCGAAGACCCTTCGTTGCCGAACACCAGACCAAAGAGCCTCCAAACTGCGGAAAACTCAATCCGTGTGTGTAGGATTTGTCATTCACAGATACAACAAATGACACAAAATCAGCGTAAGATCAATCCGCAGAAGCACAGCAGCATAAAGCCCCAATAACGCTGTCTCATAACAGTTATGGAATCGGAAACCATCAGCGCAGAAGAGCGAAGACAAGCTCAGTGGTGGTAGGCGAAACCAATATTTCCCAACTCTCGCCGCCCTCTTCACCAACAAAGATCGCCCTAATCAGCAACTCCTTCGTAATGCGCATCTGATGGAGAGTCGTGATAGCTTCCTAAACAATCAGGGCTTGAAGCGAATCACACGCCGGTGAGAACAAATACAACCACTCCCCCCACGAATGTGACCAAACAGAACTCCACAGCAAACAGATACGTACGTATAGAAGAGTAACCGGACGTCCTCAGAGACGTTAATCTAGACGAGCAACCACAACTGCTTGGTAAAGAGGTGACGCATTCTGCTCGGGCAATACCAGGAGCATTTTTCTCTCAACCAGCCTAAGATGACTTCTCCTCGGCGGGCGCGGCTTCCTTCTTCACAGCGGCTTCATCTTCCTTGAGATAAGGAGGGTTCTGTTGCATGTTGTTAAAACACTTCACCACCGAGATATCCTCAGACTCGCCATTCTCTCTCATAACATAGAAGCAGTGAGTTTCTAACAGAGAAAGAAAATTCCAAAAAACGACGATCTGTAAAAGAAGCCTTACCTCCATAGGGACTGACGTCTACCTTGATGCCCGTCATCCCAGCAAGCTTACGCTCCGCCGAAGGGTGGAACTTGAGGACCGCTTCGATGAGCTCGTAATCAGGAGTGCCCTAACGAATCACCATCCCCTTCGGGCAAAACTGCCTCCCATAGCAAGGATGGCTCGAGTCACCTGCTTCAGCTCTTGGCCAGCCTTGCGGCTCCTGAGCACGTCCCTCACGCGATTGTTCGCGGTCTGGACATTGTTATAGCGCTGAGTTCCGAGCATGATAGGCTTGTTGCGGGATCGCGCACGGTCCTAGCCAAAGCAGCAACAGTGGTAGTAATTACTCAGCGTACAATAATCACAAATATACACGAACTTAATTTGCAAACAGTACAGTAGAATGAATACAAACAATAATAGTACATAGTCAGAAACAGTGCTCGCACTGACGACGAAACCTCCCGTGACAAGGCGACCAGCGAGTATACTGCAATACTCCCAGTCTGAAACCTTACAGGGGTGGACATCGTCGGGTGCCCAGACTACACTCTACTCCTAATCGCCTCCTCAATTCGCCCATCAAGTGTGAGGTTCTTATAAGAGTAGCAACATCTACTCCTATCAGGAGGTGGGAACGATAACACAGTTGAGGACTGCGTCACCGAGTGGAGAGCAGGCGAGGAAACGCTTCGCTTCAACCGCTCTACCTTAGCACGAGACTCCCTCTTGCGGAGCACATGAGCCGGGAGACGCTTCAGAGCATCCTTCAATGCGATGCCGTAGACGACATCGGTCTTGAGCTCGAATTCCTTGGGAGTCTCCTCAGTAGAGGCGCTCGCTTCAGCCTTCTCACCCTCAGGCTTCTCCTCTCCAGCCTTAGAGGCAGCAGCCTCGGCCGCCTTATCGGCGAAGGGAGTCACCTGCAATAACACAGATTGGATAACTGAAAGCATCGCCGCGGAGAACTCACCTTGAATTTGAGGTCACTGAAGAACTGCACGTCGTCATCGAAAGGCTTCATAAGGACGTAACAAGATCGCTTATCCTCTGACGGAGCGAATCAATAATACTAAATCAGATCAGAAACAACTGTTCTTACTATCAACAGAGGTAGCAAAGGTAACCACATTTCCTTCATGGTCATCAACCTTATCCTTCACGATCTCCTCAAGGGATTTCTTAATGTTAGGCCATTCTACCTACAAGACGAACAGTGAAACCTATGGAATTCCGAGACTGAGCACCTCCTCAGGAATGTCCCTCACTGCCACGACAACGCCACCATCATGTACGGTAACATTTTTAAGCTGGGAGCGACCGGCCGGTCCTTTCTTGCCCTTGGGAGCACTCAACGTAGGGAGAGGAGTTGTTCTACGGATGAACCTAACAGTTGGTCACATGAACGACCCGCGACCGATCATCAAGATGTACAAATTCTAGAGAGGAGTATGACGAGGAAAGCGAAGGGTGTATTACAATTTGTCGTTGTCCTTCTTGAGCTCGAGGTGGGAGCCCTCCGCCAAAGCATGCTCGATGTTCTCAGCGGTGCAATGCATCTGCTTCATCTTGTTGCATGAGAGAACGAGATCAGCAGGCAGCCAACCCTGACATTGACACAATCGTGAACCGAACGACTCGTCCGAACACAAGAGCGTACCTCAGGGTCCTCCGAAATCTTCCTGTGAAAGAAGGCGTCGTGTCTGAGATTATCGTCGGAGAAATAATATTCGACCTGGCGCTTCACCTGAGCGATGATAAGAAATACCACAGCGGTACTAAAACTGTCTCGAATCGATTGCATTCCAAAACGCCACACGTAAAGTTCTCAACTGGCATAAGCCTCTCGTAAGTGACAACTAAGTTCGGCTCACCACGAAGCGACGATCAGAAAAAAAAGACTTCTAGCGTAAATTATGCCCGAGCCCAAAATCACTGATTCCCTCCATATCTACTAAAACTAACGATATGACCCAAACCCGAGCACGTTAAAATCATCCATCACGAAATATATTATTACATCAGCAACAGCAGGGCCAGTGGTGGCTTGCTCAGTCGTCGTCGTCTTCTGCTTCTTAGGAGAGGTAGCCTCCGTAAGCTCCTCGGACGAGGGTCGCTTAGTCGCAGTTGCCTCGGTAGTGGTCATAATGGGACAGGACTGATCGGTCAACTACTACAGCAATCAGATCGGTGCTTCCCTGATGACAGCGCAGTGCCTTGCGTGGCAATCGATCACGATGGCGTGTGCAGCGAGCTATCGACGGAGCGGAGCGCACTTTGAACAACTTGGCGCGGTGGTCGTTCACTACTAACCATGTCGGTGTCACCCAGGAGGAAGCGGCCACGAGTCGTTACCGACTCAGAAACTCCGATACAAGTACTCGAGAAACAAGTGCTCTCTATGTACGCCCGCGTTCAGGATACGTCGGCGCCCAATGTTGAATTCTCACCGAATTCGGCGCGTGATGGTAGTCATTCCCCTGAAGATTCGGAGCCAGAAAGGTATGTTCCAGCCTCGAGTGATTATAATCGACTATTGGTCCGTAGGAGTGTCGTGATCATCGTGGAAAGCGTTGGCATTGAAGCGGCTAAGATTCCGCCGAGGGCGACCCCACTGAAGAATGTTCACGTTCATGATGGAGGGGTAGTGGCTTCAGTGAACAGCATCCCTGTGGAGGTACCTACTTGAGTAACTCGGACACGTTATGAAGCACTTCGGGCGCTCAGGTGGACTGGTTGAATATTAAGGAGGGACTCGAAGACGAATTAGGGAGCTTGCCTAGCCAGGTGGAAGGGAATGCTGTGACTTTCGCCACTAAGGTTAACCGTAAGTTCTGCCA